TGTTGTTACACATAAACCCCCCCCCCCCCAAAAAAAAAGGAGTTGGTGAAGATTATTGCTTGGCTTTGAGTGCGATTTAGGTTTGGACCTTTTTTGTTTATTTGTTTTGAATTTACCACGAAAGATTTTAGATCCAATTGTCTTTATGTTCCTTAAATCAAAATAAGATGGTTGAATGCGTGTAAAACAACTGGCTAACTTCAAAAGCACTTGCTTTTGTGAGGCTGTGCATTATGATTGTGGGTATATCCTTTRGATGATGGGAAAATGGTGACCATAAAGGAAGGCATATATCCAGCAACAATACTACTAAGCTTTGGCATTCAGGCCCTGATTGATTGGTTTTAAGGGGCCCGGCATTTGCCAGGAAAACATTCCTCACGCTTTGACACCCATGACCACCAGCCTGAAGCTTTGAAACAGTGCAGGTTTGGCCTGTTGAGTCTAGGTGTGGATACCGAGATATGGTCACACCATCTGCAGCCTGAGCAGCAAMTGATTCAGCAAATCAAGCCAGGTTTTTCTAACCTGCAACTATCTTGTTTTGGTGACATTTAAAAACCARTTTACTTTTTTTGAGCTTTRTAATCATGTAACAATGTCACTCTCTCTTTAAAAACATACCCAGAGTGTTGCTTTGACTCATTCATGCATGTTTGAGAAATCCTTGAATCTCCTGTAGCCATGTGAAGCTGCCTAAACGCTTGCTGGTACAAMGCTCCTCCCTGGAGCTCAGTCTGCAGCTGAGCTCCCGCCCCACAGAGCACCCCTCCCTCGAAGCATTTTTGTGAAGACATACTGAAGTGGGAGTGTCAGAAATGGTAGAAGGTTCTAAAAGAAACGGAGGCCAATTACAAGACGTTTAAATACGTTATGATGCAACGTCAATTTTATTTTTGATACATRCAGCAGTTTCATAACAACTGAAGGTACTTGATAGTGTTGTAAAATTGRACTAATTGCCTGAAAAATACATACTGCTCCCCCTTTAGGAAAAAATGATGCAGAGTCCGACATATCGTTTGGGGATTTCAGCTTATTATATATTAGGTTAGGTTGTCAAATTATACATTTATTTTATATAAACATCAAATTACAGCTTTCTAATCCTAACATTTATACATTTTTTATTATTATATGCATTTTTCTGTTTCYTGTAGGTAATTATGGTGGTACAGCATTTTCATAACAATTTGATTGTGGTTTAGAATTGAACTATGTGCCTGGAAGATACAGAATAACCCCCCCCATCTTAACTAAGGTATTATTATAGCCCACTGTCATGCGTCATCTTCATAATTATTTTAAATTTATAATAAACTTAAATAATGWAAGGTATTATAAACATGAACAAGTAAATGAAATGTAAGCAATTTGGATAAAACTGTAACATATGTAATAATAGAGAGCATAATAGAGCATGTAGTTATTTTCTACACCTGCATTTAGAAACAAAAGCAGTTGTTCTTGCAACTAAAGAAAATGGTTTCCAGCTGAAATGTCATTTCTAGTAATAGTCCAACAGCACAACTTCCTTTTCCCAGTAGGACTGTGTGTGGGCTTCAAACCAGAAGGATGTTTGCATGTGTCTGTCTCTTTGTGTGTTCGTGCGCGACTCTGAAAGATTAAMGTGAAATGCTAACCTTCACCATCAGGAGCCACATGAAGGGGAGCAGCAGGGAAGGTTCTGCCTTTAAAGTAAAACTTATCAACTCACGTTTAAAGGCYGATGAGTTATCATTTAATTGAGTTCTGGTGGCAGTTGTTTTTCTTCTTTGACWCATGCGGAAATTTGCAAACACACGCTTGAAACAGATGCCGTTCTGGTTTTGTGTAATTATTTTCCTTTTAGAAGGCTCCACATCTCCCCTACAGGTGTCCTGGTCCAATTCTCCCTTTTTGCTAATAACATAAATATTTTTGTTCACGCAGGCCTGGTCACAGAGCATTAATCAAGATTTTCTTGCCCTTTTTTTTGTCTGCATGATTTTGATGAGTAGGTGTGCTGGCCTATGTTATTGGCTTGCTTGTGTGTAAGCCACGACTTTCCCACGTTGCGGAGTCGGGTCTCCCACAGGCCTCTCTCTGCCTCCCGTTCTCTCTTTCTTTCCCCCCATTTTTCCTCTTTCCTTCGTGTCCTCTTCTTTTTTTCTCGTGTGCCTCTCTCCTCCGTTCTGCACCTGTACTCGGCTCTGCGGCCCCAGCTGTTCTCGGTTCGGCTCGGCGCTGTTGGCCGGAGCCCTTGTTGCACTTGGCATGTCCTCTGAGAACCTGGGGCCACACTTGACGTGCGAGGGCTGGACGTGCCCCCGCCCAGGAAAGGCTCCTGTGGCCATGACTTAAGAGCAGACGGATGAGGAGGGCTGTGGCCTGCAGAAAGACCTGCAGGAATACGCTAACTCGTTTTTAGTTTGGCTAAGTCAGGCACGAAGGAAAGTCACAAGAAATGAGAGGAGGGAGGAACTAATGTTTAGGAAAAGGTTGAAAAAAGATATTTTATATCCGATATGGGAAATGTTTACATCGAAYTTAAAGAAATGTGTAGCTAACTTTYATGCCTCACGCAGGAYGGTTTTCTACTTTTCCAAAAGGTTTTCATTATGTGTATCTAAAAGCACTTGTTGCACACTTTTCATACATGCCGTGCCACACAAAGTGTTRTAAGAGAGAACTGTGTACACCGTTAAAAAGTTAATTTTCTCTCACATTGTCTTTTTATTCTGTTGGAAATAATGGGGCAAAAAATGCTCGCTTATTCCCTGAATCCCAGATTTTTTTTTCTCATTAAAAACCCAACAACAAAAAAAAACAACAACTAAATACAGTCCGGGAACTGGACCCTAATCGAGACGTATTTCCATAAATCTCAGCTTGCGTCGACCACATACGGTGTCCGTATATCCCTGTGAATATCAGTGTATGTTTGCAGAGATTAAAGCTGACAGGGAGAAGGATATGAAGCTCTTTGTTTTTCTTGCTTCTCTTATTAGTTTTCCCACTATTTCTCTTTCCTTGACCACAGTCCTTGTCTTCAGCTCCTCTCTTCCTGACCCTGGGGAGGGGAGTGGGTATCACACATGCAGACCTTTAAATCTGCTCGGTGACAGTTCAGCCCCACTCTGTCAAGGCTCAGTGAAAGAGAGTGTAATCTATGTTCAGGGCGAGAAGAAAGAGGAGAGGATATATGTTCCTGTGCTTTGTTTTGCATCCATGAGCTGAGATTCAATAGCGACACATTACTCAAGTGGTTGGCCAACAGACTATTGTGTAGTAATTGACCCTGATAAAGTGGTGGGCCTTTAATTTGGAAATGGTGAAAACTGGGTGAATTGTTAACTGGGCTAGAGCTTCTCTTTCCTTTTTTTAATGGCTTTAACTCTTGTATAAACATCCAGTTAGAATTCAGAGTAAACAAATTATTTTTATTTTACGATTGATTTTTCTTATAAATAGTTAATTGTGTGTTGTTCCAGGTACCATTATCCTGTTCCTAAGATCTTCTACGTGCAGCTCTCGGTGGGGAGTCGAGAGTTTATCGGGGACGGGCGAACTCGGCAAGCAGCAAGACACAGCGCTGCCATGCAAGCCCTACAAGCCCTGCGCAATGAACCCATCCCTGAACGGCCRCCACAGGTAAATAAAACAAACACACATGAAAATCGTTCGTATAGTTGTTGTAAGTTCTCTAACACTGTTTGCGATGGTGCTATCTGCAGAGACCTGACCCTGAAAACATCAAGCCACCCTTTACTTTTGGGCCCAATGAAATTCTTTTAATTTTTTCCTAAGTTCTGCTTATTTATTTATTTATTTATTTATTTTCATTTTAACCAAATTTATTAACCTAAAAAATGTGCTATTATAAAGTGACTAAAAATAATTTAACAAACGAATAGCCGCAGAATTCAAAACTGTCATTTCACTTTCACAAATCTAACAAATTGCTGTGGTTCATCAGAACATAAAATGCTTTTGCAAGGTATTTAAAAGTCCTTTTTAAAGAACAAATAAAATTCTTTACATGCAAAAACAGAATCTCACATAAAAATGRTATCCTTTTGTAAAATAAAAATGCTTTACAGTGGAACATAAAACCTGCAAATGGTAACAATGTATGTACACTTACCTACTGAATAGARTTTAAGCTCCTTCTTACTTCTGTTTTGGCAGAGCCCTTCCTTGTTTGCAGTGCTTTATCAAAAACAGACAAAGCTTTTTCACTTTTTCTAAAGGAATATGTGATTCTGGATATACAGGAACTAAATCTTTGATGAACGCATGTCTCGCTGAGTGTTGAAGAGTTTGCAGGTGTGTCTGTGTCTGATGTGAGTCTTCAACTGGAAGTGGTCATCACATTTATTCTTACGCATCCAGTCGATCTTGTGCTGACAAAACTTACAATTTGTTCTCCAGAATTATGTTGTTCCAAATTCATATTGCTGTATTTTTCTGCCCTAAACGCTGCGCTAAGCTCTTTACCATGGCTGACAATTTACTTTTTTTTTCTGTCTATATGGATAGGACCMACTCCATAACCAGGTAACGGAAGGTACAGAGGGTAGCAGTGGCCAAAATACCTAAAAAAAATGGCCAAATGACTAGGGTGTATAGTAACTAAGTACGTTTACTTTGTTACAGTTGTAAATTTATCAAGTATTTTTTATCCTAATTTTTACTCTTATTTTGTTACATTCATGATACTTTTACTTCATGTCTTTAATCAACTCGATTTAATGAAACCAGTTTGGTTCTTTTCTTAGTGTGTGTGAAAGAACTTTAAATTTCCCGATTATTGTTTTACAGTTTTATTACTTTTACTTAAGTACTTTTCTTAACAGGGAAATAATTTTTTAACAATATTTTTCTGTTAAGGTATTTTACACTGTGGAAATCATAGGGCTCTAAGCCTTTACCCATACTCCTACTGTCTTATTGCCACCTCACTCCNTTTTTACTCTTATTTTGTTACATTCATGATACTTTTACTTCATGTCTTTAATCAACTCGATTTAATGAAACCAGTTTGGTTCATTTCTTAGTGTGTGTGAAAGAACTTTAAATTTCCCGATTATTGTGAGCAGTTTTATTACTTTTACTTAAGTACTTTTCTTAACAGGGAAATAATTTTTTATAACAGTATTTTTCTGTTAAGGTATTTTACTTTTACTTTCTTTTAAGTACAGTACTTTATATACCTCTGCCAAATGAGTTAATTCCGCGTTTTATCCTGGATTCTTTTTTTGAATGGTAAATTCAGCGAATCCATTCATGTTTTTCTGCACTGTGGAAATCATAGGGCTCTAAGCCTTTACCCATACTCCTACTGTCTTATTGCCACCTCACTCCTTTAGAGTTTTTGTCTCTCTAGAACTGCCTTCATCTCTGAGGTCTAAATCAACTCCTTCAATCTGGAAACTTTGCTTAAATAAATTAATGAAACTGAAAAGATCCTTGGCTGCTGATGTGCTTTTCTTTTTTCTGGAATAGCTCAGGAATGATGTGTATTTTTGTGTAGTTACTAAAAAGAGTACTTATTCAATTTTAATCACTTTAGATGTAAATACACCTCAGCTCTAATTACTCTAATGTAACATTTAATCCTTTTGCAGTCTGTTTTGCACCTGGCTGGGTTTTATTTTTTACTTCCTATTTCTTTTTTTTTCTACTGTTTTTTGCTGCTCTTCTCCCAACGCCACTGTACAGTAGGGTTGTGCAATATTGGCAAAAAAAATTAATCATGATTAATTGTGATACAGTATTAAGCTGATAACGATTAGTATAACCCCTGCATGCCCTTGTTATATAACCAGTTTAAATCACTCCAGTGGGAAAGATTTTCTCACCATAAAAATCTGTTCCAAATTGTGTCAACAGAACAGACTTCAGGCTAGGCCAAGTCAAACCGGTATTATGATAAATAAAGTACAGAACCTTTAAAAAAATGTTTGTCATATTTGAAGCGGAGAGGAGCACCGAGCGGACTGACCGGTGAAATCTCCAGTCAGTCTGCCTGGTGACATTAATCRTATTAATCGTCAAGTGCCAAAAAAATAATTGATTAAAGATTTTCTGACGATTAATTGCACATGATATGATTTTCCCCAACCCTACTGTACAGTGCCAAAATTTCTTACACTTAAAGAGTAACTTACCCCAAAATTAACTTTTTTTAGCTGATAAACTGTCTAGAATGTGTCTAAAATGTTATATAGTACTGTTTCTGTGCTAATTTTGATGTTTTTGTGCGTATTTGTTCGAATCTGTAAGCTGCAGCACAGAACATGAATGGTATCCTATGCCTTCAATTTACACAATGCAGGTTTTTGTAATTTGCTTCACATATTGCTCAGTATTTATAACAATGTAATTTGCTGCTTTGGAGAGGTCAACTCTTTTGAGCACTAGAGGACAAGATGAAATGAAGTCTCAGGTTTCAGTCCGGGTCGAGGAAAGGAAGACAATGAGTGCATAATCCCATAATTTGGCCCAATTACAACTTGAGAATTTGACGCAGCGACTCAAAAACCCTTCGCTTGACAAAGTGCTGACTTGCAAACACATGGCCCGCAACAAATGAACCACTTCAGGAGTTACTGGGTGCAAGCTTCAGTAGGAGCAGAAGTCACGGTTATTTGGAGTTATGCAATAAAAACTGAACATGACATAAAACACTGTCACTTCTGCAGGGAAGGGTTCATAGTTCAAAAAACTTCGAATAAAAAAATCAAAGACACCCTTAGTTTCAGATAGCTGAAAAAGTGTACTGCAGGGTTCCCACACCTTGGTCAACATCAAATTCAAGGACCTTTCAAGGACTTTCCAGTACCAATTTCCTCAAATTCACGAACCACGTGTGATGGCAATTACCTACTGCTACCACAGAATGTTACCAACAAACAGGTTTATTTACCGTAATTCTGAGTTATCC